ATACTCTGTAAATACAACCATTACTGTACGGTGTATATACACTTTAAAGTCCGGACGTATCCGTCAGAAACTAATAGCATACTGACTTGCCACGGGGAAATAAAGTGACTCCAGTAAGACCAAAAAAAAAAAAATACTCGGTCTCTGGTCAGCGCGCGCGTCGATTTTAATCATGCGCGTCAACCTTTTTTTTCTCTTCAAATTAACACGGAAGCTACAACGGCGCCCTCTATTGCCGCGCCTCCTCAACTTTTTGTACCAAGGAGCACCAAGGAATGGGGAAATTGCACCAAGGCAAATGATGAAGGGCACCAAGGCAAATTATGGAGGACACCAATGTACAATGAGGACACAAAAAAGCAAAATAGTACCCACCTTGTCTGTATAATACAAGCTTGGAAAAAAGCTACCAAAAAAACCCCCAAAAAACCGCGTCGCCGCATCAATTCCGGAACTTCGGTCTGACCAGAGACCGACTATTTTTTTTTTTTTTGACCTAACTGTGTCTTGTGCAATACACAAGGAAGTACATGTAGCATTAATTGCAGACAGCGGGACGAAGTTGTATTAGACTTAAACAAACGGTATTGGACTGCAAAGGTTATGTATATTCAACCTGTCTTATGAACATTTCCTAATGGATAAAATGGACATGGGGTTTCAACACAGAGTCTATCGACATGTTCCTGTCTTTTCATTGCTTCTGTTTCTGCTCCTCACTCACAAAGGAGGTAAGTTTGGCAAAAGTCTACTATCAAGTAAAAAAAAAACCAGTGTCGGACATTGACGAGGCAATTGATTTTATTAGTTATTATTGGTTGTAACGACGTTTATGTTGTTGCCACTACTGGAGTATGACAGATAATAATAATAATAATACCGGAGTCTGATATGGTGCACGTATCTACCAACATTTAGGTACTCGAGACGCTGGAAATTATGTCTATTATTAAAGAAAGGTAAATAAAGTTTATGAGATATTTGAGACCCATTATGTAGCACCTTATAATGGTTTACAAGATTAGTTAAGCAGATGACACAAGATACCTTGTTTCATAACAGTAAACATATTAATTTATGTTCAGTGACATACACTAATTCTGAATTCGGTAAATATCCATAAATGACGAGGGAGTACTAAATATACGTTCGTGATATACTATAGCGTAATAGTAGTCTTACTATTTGTGTTAAAATAGCCTTAATTTCTCAAGTCTCAGTTTCATCCGTTCATCGCGGAGTACGCGGACCCCGCAAATGTTAGTAAGATGTGCACATATTTTGAAGTAATTCATTAAATCAAGTGCACATTTTGTGTACGATAAAGTCCAATTATAAGGTTTACGTTTTATGGGGGTATGTGGCGAACTGAAAGAACCCTGTGTAAAAAAAAACCAGTTTACATGGTTTAGAAGGCTAACATGCATTTGAATTGATACTTTATAATTTCGTCATCAAGTTTTTGATGAAATGGACAATGGGGACTTGTTACAGCAGAATCGTGCTAGATGTTCTTTAAAATTTAACATTTTTGGGGGGCGGGTGCTAATAATACTTCTAAAATGGGAATAATTACATTCAACAGTTATTGTACGGCTTAAAATACATCGATGTAAAGGATATGAAAATCCAGCGGTATTACATGTGTGCGGATTACTCGAACAAAAATCTGAAAAAAAGCAAAACAAAATAGGGCGCACTGACATTGATAACATTTCAATGAGGGAGTATCTGGTAAAAAAAAACCCAAATGCCTACGGTAATCTATTTTGTTTTTGTTTGTTTTGAAACCACACAGAGTAACATACAATTAACGTATTGTATTTTCAAGTCAAGTTTATAATAAACCTACATGTCACTGGGATGCGGAGGGGTTGGGATGTAACTCTCCCGTTTACCCCATTAACGTGCGCCGGTGTCATATGAAAATCGGACTCTTTTGAAAATCGGACTCCTTGGTTAAACCCTCTCACGTGACCGGTCACTCTCCTAATCATCACCCTTAGGCATGCGCAATACTACCAATGAGTCAGTATTCCATAGAGTTCTCAATTCACTGTACACCGGTATGAAGTGCACCCCTTAATGTCCTATTCTTCCCCCCCCCCCCTCTAGATTTTTTTTTGCGGATGCCGGTTGTCATTTTAGCACGGATTGTCTGTCAATGAAAATGTTATCAGCCCCCCCCCCCCCCCTTCAAAGTTGTTTTGCGACACTTCTGTGTTCATGAAACCTTTTGCGGCCAAAAAAAATAGAAATACGTCACGATCGTCATGTCCATCATAGGAAGATGGTGTGAGGCCTCCCCCGCCCCATTTTTTGTTTTTTTTCCCGATGCCGGGTCTCGTTTTAGCACGGATGGTCTGTCGACTACTGATCTATCTGATCTGCGTAAGATACTTTGAAATAATATGACAGACTTAGTAGGAGGGTGTCCTACAAAAGATTTTTCCCCAAACAAATAGCGCCCTCCTTTAGAGTACAAACAAAGGAATGAATGAGGATTAGGGAAAAAAGTGGGTCCACGATTGCTCGGTGTTTATATGCAGAGATGGGTGTGTGTGTGGTGGGGGTGGGGGCGCAACCCGAAGAGTTTTCTCGGCTTTTGGGGAGGGAATTAAGTCTCTAATTGATGGTTTAGTAGATTTTTCGATACTGAAATTGATGCAGAAATCGGTGATGTATTTTGCTATGCTGTAATCATGACTGTTATTGTCAATGGGGGCTCATCAGAGCAACGGAATCACGCTACTCGTTGAACCTTTATTTCTAAAATCTTTATAAACACTTGTGGTCCTTTATAAAGAACAGTTAAAATCCAAATCTATAAAAAAAAGGATCTGAATATCAAGAAGTGTTTTATGTGTGTGGTTTCCAGATCAAAACGAAACTCTGAAATGGAATAAAGACGAAACACAAACGGATGTGTTTATTCCAGCTTTAGGTCAAAGGGGATAAAATGACTTACTAACATTTCAACCAGGAAGTGGTTGTAAAAAATACACAGTTCAAGTAGTCCAATGCAATATTTATTTAATCGAAAATTACACGATGACTCAAACTAGACTTGGGGCCTGTCTGACCTGTTCTGTATTCTAAATTAATATTACATTGAGTATGTATATCAGTGGCGTACAAGGCAGGGAGAGAGGAAGGGGCACAGGGGAGGTGGGGAGGGGGCAGGGGGAGGCGAGGGTTGGGGGAATCGTGTTCCCAAGTGGATATCCGTGCCCCCATTGAAAAATGTGTGCACCCCCAGGTGCTCCCTCACAAGTTCAACCATAGATACGTCACAGATATATATGCGAATAAATTAATCAATAAATAATAAATATTAAATCGAACACGAAAGACCTGGTGGAGGTTAACTTGTCTCCTGGTGACGTTTTGCAATTGTAGCTTTTTGTTATATTTATTGAAAGCGTCACAGCACTTTACAAGCGGTACCTACCTACCCTGACCCTCAAATTTGGATGCGCTATCAGTACACAGTCTTACCAGGATTCCAGTGAATTACCATAGTGCCAGGCTATGTTCAGCAAGTTTAATATCAACAGTGCAAACTAAATGCACTTGTGATGTAAATGTGCATTTGAAGCTGCACTGTACTTAAGGGTTGTCGAAAAGTACTCTGTAGATATAACCATTATTGTACTGTGTAAATCTGGCCTTTTCTATTATATTATAAACAGTCGTTTGAATTGGCGAGAGGAAATAAATTGACACCAGTACCAGTTTGTTTGGCGATACACACGTAGCATTGCAGATGAGGTATAAGGTTTACATGAACTGTATATATAGGACTGCGTCGTCAGAACATTTCCCGAGGGATAAAATCAGTGAGGGGTCACTAGTCCCCTGGCGACATTTTGCAATTGTTATCAATGTATTATTTATTGTAAGCATCACCGGCACTTCTTCACAAAATACCTCTCAACAACCCTTTTGCATCAAAAAAATGCTTGTATTTATTTGTTTTCTTACTTACATTCGCCTTTTTTCAAAAGAAACCTCCGTTATTTTTACAAATTCGCTTCGCGATATAACTACATCGCAATTCAACGTCACAGTGACTGTAATCACGTGGCGACGACTGCCGTGCCGCGCAGGGGCCAATTTAGAAGACATGATGAAAATGCGGTAACCAGTCCATAACTATGCGACCGATAGCGCGCTGGCAGTGCAGGCCACTGTCAACTGGTCGGATTCGACATCGTAAAAATGCCAAGAAAACACCGATGGAGAAAGAACATTTTTGCAAGTTAATTTACAGAATTGATCTAGCTTGTCTGTGTTCAAGAGTTCATTTTGAGATCGCACTACTCGTATTTGGAGTGATACATGCCGAGTGTTTCCCGAAATTTTTGACCGTAAAAACAGGTCTGTCGGCCCATGGTGGGCCGCTCGCCACACAAACACGCATCACACACCTCGGAGTTTTGGCCAGCTCCCCGCGTCTTGACTAGCGTTGTGCATATGGTGCGAACCACCTGAATTTTCCATTATTTTTTGAAATTATCGAACGTAAATATATTTACAATAATTAAAGGTAGTTTTTATTCACACTTTGTTGCCATTTTGTGTATAGCTTTCGTAGTGCAATGGAAATAGTTCAGGCTAAACACTTCGCATATAATTGAATACCCCATTAAATCTGCATAAAAACACCGACCGACCCTATTTTTGAAAGGCATGTAATCGGAAGCAGAAGTATTTTTTTTTTGGTCTTGCTAGTTCCCTACTAGACTATTGTCAGCTAGTTGTCAACAGTGCAAACCATGATTACTGTGATGTAATGTACATTTGAAACTACATTGTTCTTATCAATAGAATTGTCGAACCGTACTCTGTAAATATACAACTATTACTACGGTGTAAAGTCCGGGTCTATTCCTCGGAAATTGGCACGAGGAAATGAATTGACTCCATAAACAGTGTCTTGTGCAACACACAAGGAAGTATGTAGCATTGCACACAGCAAGACAAAGTTGGAATATACGAACTGTACAGGACTGCAAAAGTTAATCCACCTTGTCTGCAGGGATCAGACATGGCGTTTCAACATGTGGTCTACCGACACTTTCTCTTTCCTTCACTGCTTCTGTTTGTGATCCTCACTCACAAAGGAGGTAAGTTTGGCAAAAAAATCTACCATCAAGGACACGAACAGTGTCAGACATAGACGTCACACACTGGATTTTAGTTGGACTTAATAATTTGGTATGACAATATTGCAACGATCGGGATATGACAGTTTAGTTTATCAAAAAGCACGATCCTTGTTTCATATACACGTAATAACTTGAATTTATATTCAATGGCAGGTACTGTTAATTAATCTTCAGTTGTTTTCTTTATCCATGTTTTTTTCATGCAAATTACCCTTCAATGATAAGTAATACTAAGTGGACGTTAATGTAATACAATAGTACTCAATCCTTAATGCAATTCAATAGTAATCAAACTCAAAGTTTATAGGCGGGAAGGTTAGAAACTTGATATGTGCTTACAGTGAAATTTGAGGTAAAACCTTTGCTCTAGCAAGCCCTAGAGACCAATCATCAACGTGCCCCAGATAAGGATACATTTTTGAAAAATTGAAAAATAGACTACAAATATTGACATTTTAACAATTTCGATGTGGATTTTGTGACGATAAAAAAGCCCGGGACCCGGTCTGGGAGACATTGTGGTAGGGGATCTTCCATTTTTGAACCTCAATAAATTAACTGTCAAAATAAAATGTAATAGTCAAGTACTTTCAATTGATGATAGTGTAACGTCGGTGCCGGTCCGCCGGTAGAACGCCAGCACGGACTCACGGTGCAGCCGCAGCGTCAGGACCCCTTCGCTTGGCCAGGAAAACCCGTTGCCGGACTGCGCCCACTTAGTAGTGTGACATTTTTGTATAATGTGTCTTTGTTGTGAGTTGTAAACAAAAAGAGCCTTGTGTAAGAAAGTGGCAAAAATAAACGGCCTAGAGCCCCGAAACCCTGAAGAATAGTGTCTGTGGTTTCCTTCGTCTGGCGTGTGAAAACCCAGAATATGGTCAACGTTACATTAGTGGCAGCCGTACGTCGACGGAGGAAAAACAGGTCAAATTTCGAGTGTTTTCGCCATGATGATTACACCAGGCTGAGTTAGTCTGGCGTCCGACTCGCCAAGCGGCGGGTACGCACGCTGGATCTGGGCCTCGCAGAGCGTAGACCAGTCAGTAGCTGTGTCACGCACACAGTCCTGTTTGACCACAGTTTCTCGTCCCGAGGTCGCGCACACATGGCCCAAAAGCGTACGTGAGGTTTTACGAGATTTATGTGAGACTATAGAAAAACACGAAAAGTGCCTGGATGCATGCACTGTTCGGCTAGGATGGCTAAATATGTGAAAAGTTGAAATCGTGTGTGTTTTATTTTGATACCAAAAATAACTGTTTGTGACAAATATAAAGTGCTGGTACAGCCTGCCAAACAAAATCATATTTTTAATCAATAAAAGCGAGGGCCGATAGTTTTTAGGTGTACATTTGCTTCTTAAAAGAGGCCGAAAGACACGACAAGATTCACTAGATAGAGGAAAGTATACGTTTCATTTTAATATGAAACACGTGCAGGAGACTTCTAATGTTTGGTCCAAATAGCCTGTTGAAAAATGAAGACTTTTGCGAGATTTCATGATTTGCAATCACATGTACGCGTGTAAACGAACGTAAGTACGACAACGTTGGCGTGAAAACATTGTGAAGAGCACGGGCGAACTTGCACTGAATGACTTATGAATATTAAGCAGGTCATACTCAAGCTCGACCAATCAGTGGGCGAATGGGGTCACAAGGTCACACCGTGTTTGAGTTTCTCGCTCTATGGTTTACAATGGCGACGATCTTTTCGCGTTGTGAAAAATGGAAGTTGTTGGAAACATTAGGTGTACATCGAATTCTTAAAATATCAGCGACATCACGTTCACGGGATTTTTTTGTAGATGAAAGTTCATTTCTTCCTTTGATTACCGCAACATTTAGGAGACTGTCGTCGTTGTCGAAAAATTTCATGACCTAATTTTTAGTAGATTTGTCCGTGAAATTATATCGTCAAAATGCATCGAAATCTTTCCCTTTTTTTAGGAAAAAAATACCTTGATGGATGTATGAAGTAGATCTTTAACTACCTAAAACAACTTTGTTTGTTTGGATCGATTGTGATTTGCCATGAAAATTACGAATTTTCTAAAGCCCTTTTTATTGCCATCTTTCGCTGGCCTCGCGTTGCTGTCAATTGTGAGGACGAGAAAATAGAGCAGCTACGCGTGACACGGCAACTGACTGAGACCAACCTAGTGAGATGGCCAGAAAAGCGTTCGTCGCGCTCGATACATGACTCGCAGTTGAAAATTTTCGGGGTTTGGGAGCCAGCTAGGCCTACATGCTAGGCCCCACGTAGAATCGCCCCGCGCTTTACACGGCGGCGCAGACGCTCTGTTCCACTTAGACTTGGCCAAGTCTGGGTTGCGCTCGGCCTGTGCCTAGAGTAATTCCACTCACAGCGCATATCGCATACGTCCTTACAGTACATAACGCGCGCCCTCATGCGTCGAATCCGGACCATCATGTTAAAAACGTACATGTACATGTTATTTTCAAGTGATGCAGCAACCCAGACTTGGTCAATCTGCCAAGCGTACGCGCTGGTTTGTTCCACGTTTGTACACAGTCTATGGAAATTAATTCTCGATGTGATTGGCTTCTACCGATTTCGGTAGAAGCCAATCATATCACAGTATTTCAGGTAATGAGCGTTTTGATTCTTAAAAACGCGCGCAGATTGTTTTGATATTATTCCTAACACGCAATCAGCGTTGTCTGCGTATTCGCGCAGCCAAGGTTTCGCGGAGAACGCACACGCATCCCATGGTGAGGAGTAGAAACAGATACACGCTCGAATGCTTTGAAACGGCTCTGGGTACGCACAACACGAAGCGGTATCAATGGATCTCAACATCTTTTACAGGTTAACCCCAATAAATATTCCCTTTTGTTTTGAATAACATTCGAATGTCGTATTCTTTATTAATTCAATCCAAGAGCAGCTGATCTTAGCATTATCATCTCAATATAATGTGTTTGAACTCTACAAATTGAGATTACGTTTTTAAACTTTTGCAGATTGTTATCCAGCCTTCCATACCTACTGAAAATAATAAACGAGTCTTTAAAAATGTGTTACTTTGATTGGTCAAGCGATGTTGCTGCATATGCATAGAGATGGTGTTGCATACGCATCGATATCGATGAATACGTGCGCGTTCACGCGAGGGGGGGGGTGCTGATGGCAGATTGATCAAGTCGGGATTGCTTACTTTTGCACCACATGTATGCACATGCTCTGCAATACATGCACACACATGTAATGCGCGTGCTGTACAATGTACGTACAGTGTGTGCGCATTGTTATACGGCACTGAAGTGAAACGCGCGCGGAAGTGTACCTTGTCGGGCATCTGGAAAGAAGTAAACCAAAGGGATTTTTACTACTTTTTTTTTTTTTTTTTTTTTAAAGATACCGACTTAAGAGCAATTCCGACTTGAGTCAAGTCTATGTTCCACTCGGAACGTTGTCAGACTGTGCCTGTCGATGCAGCAGGGGCGGGGCTTCGTTTTGGGACGCTACAGGATGGTTTTGCTAGTGCCAAGTCCCACGGGGTATATTATGAAAATATTGAGTGGCTTAGCGTGGAATGAAAGGAACATTATCGCAAGGTAAAATCTGGACTTTTCCATTTCACGAGGTGGAGCCGAGTGAACTGGAAAAGTCAAGATTTTATCGAGCGATAATATTCATTATTTGTTTTATATAACTGACATATAGATCCTTGTCATTTGATATATTCTAACTTTTATTTCCATACAAAACTTGAGGAAAATGTATTTCTCTCTTCAAAACCACCCCTTCACGAAAATGTTTGAACCCAACGCTGTGGCTGGCTCTTTGGAACAATACGCGCTACGCGCAACACTGAACGCGCACACTAGCAAGCATTTGTACACAAATACCGCGTGATGATCCTAAATGTTGAATAGTATTTCCCATTCCCCATGGGCGGATAGTACTTTGTGAGCCGCGGCGTGAATGTGAGCAATAACGAATGTCACGTGATGTGAGTTCCACCAATCAAATGAAAAGGATATGTATGTCGGTTATATAAACGCTCTGCGCTGATGTGCACAGCGGCGCAACAGACGCTCCGTTCCATGCATTCGGAACCCTGCCGAGTTGCGCCTGTTGATGCAGCAGGGATGGCCGGACGTGATCGTCTGGAGACGCCCGCGTCTTCTGCATCAACACAAGTGCCAGGGTCCACGGTGGGAACAGCCTCGTAACACACACATTCTTACGACGGATGCCCGTTTCCCTCCGGAATCGCTCCGTTACACACACATTCATACGACAGACACAATGTTTCCCTTCAGAACAACTCCGTTCCAAACACACAAATACACTGGCTGCATGTTTCCCTCCGGAACAGCCCCGTAACACACACACATTCAACCACTCACACGCACACCCATATCCTTGTGGAGACATTCCTTTGTTCTTGTGTACTAAAGTTTTCGTGTTTCCAAATGTAGTTTCAAAATGCTCTTATTTTAACCAGAATTAATTTCCTGGGCTAAAATTTTGACTTAATATCCCTATTCTAAAACTCTTCCATTTGCGACGTATCAACATAGCTTGGAAATTCCTAGTTTTTAAGTAAAATCCATATATCTATAAATATCTGATTCAGGAATGGTTATTTTAATATGTACAGCGCTCCACTATTAATGCTCTAATTACCTTACTTTATGATTTGTCCAGCAACCTGTGAAAACCCGATAAAATACAAGGTGATCATGACTGTTTAGAAATGTGTTGTCATGTACCATACCTAGCGTGAGGTTTTCAAGGGATTTTTTTAACTATATTGTTCATCAGCCATTGATCAAAGTTGAAAAACGGCATTTTGAACCTTTCTCTCAAAATCGAATTGATTACAATTCGATTAGTATTTGTTAACACTGTACATTTAAAAAAAAAAATAGCTGAAAGATTACCGGGCATCTGGCGCAGCGCGGCGGCGATTTGTTCAGTATAGGGAAAAAAATGATATATATAGATTTGATATAAAAAAAATTTGCAATCCGCCGATTAAAGCTACGGCAAGCTATGCGCAAGTTTTGCTTTCTAGTGTGTTTCCAGAGTGTGTTAAAAAGTTTTTCTGTGACTTCATAAAATGCAAAATTGCACACATGAAACTGAAACTGCAAAACAAATTCGAATATGCTCAGAACTCTTTACATGTGGGTCACAGTTAAACCCCTACATTTTGCGACCGTATTGATCAATGATTTGCCTCAAAAGTGAAGAAATGAAATCTGCAGTCACCAATTCCTCTTTTTGGTTATGTTCGATGTGTGCTCTCAACCAGTGAGAAAGGTGAAGTTAACACACAGCTCAATGCTTCATCATTAATTGAAAACTGCAAAGACCGACAAATAACAATATTGAGAGGTTTGTTTGTAATCAAATGCACTACAAGAGTCCTAATGTATATGCTTATAAGTACATTCCACCTCAGCAAGTCACACAAGCTACCCAGTAAAGACGAAGCCAACCAATATTTAGAGATTTTGTCAAAATTAGCAAATGTTTGCAACGCTGTAAACATCAAAAGAGAATGTCATTCTGTTGTTTCATACGCAAGACAAAATGATATGACAATTCCTCAAATTCGTGGAAAAAAATTGTAGTCGTTTAACAAGGTTGTAGTAGGTGCGGCTCTAGAACCTATATTTTTGGGGCTAGCGAGGGTGGATCCAGAAATGTTTGCAGGGAGGCGTGCTGAAATGTAGATCGGCGTTTTTCTCCGGACACTTAGGACTCCGAAAATCAATAGGTGGGGGCGGGTGTGGTGGTAATGGTGGTGGTGGTGGTGGGGGGGGGGGGGGGGGGGTGGACCATATTATCAATGTTGAGCGCTGATCAAATCCGACAATCATGCACACTATATACCTAATAGTGTACAAATGCCCCCTTCTCACGACTATTTTTTTTGTTTTGGGGCGACAATTTTCATGTGACTCACCTTCGAAAGTGTCACCTTCTAAACATTTTTTTTTGGGGGGGGGCTATGCAATTTTTTTTTTTTGAGGGGGGGCTAGGCAAAAGTTTTGGGGCTAAAGCCCCCCCTCCCCCCTGAACCGCGCCTGGGTTGTAGTATAGTAACACAAACTTGTTTAAACTACACCTGTCATAATCATGATTCCAAAGTAAATCTTCAAAAAGAAAATAATGCATGTGATATTTCGTGTACAGCAGCCTTGATACTGTTACAAGGATGACATTGAGGTTTTACAAAATCACCTCCTTGTGGTAGGGTTTCAAATGCACTGTGATATAACACTGAAAGTATGGACACTGGTAACCGGTTAATGATAACTTGAACACAGGTCTGGCCATCAGTCTGCGGAACAAGACAACTAGTCAGAGTACAACTTATTCCAATGAGGGGCGTGCGGAGAATGCAGTAGACGGCAATCTAATCACCATTTCACATACGAGTAAGCTCTTTTCTCTTAAACGGGGGTTTGATTCATTGTTGATGAATAAACTGGTAATCACGAACGTCGATCAGGTCAGTGACGTAGCCGGGGAGGGGAGGCGGCTACCTCCCCCTTAAAATATCGTCGCCCCCTCCCGTCACCCCACTGGAAATATGTTAGTCCTATACGTTACCATGGTTAACGAGCTTTGGGCCTGTTGTTCGTGCTCTGTTCGAGCAGATACGTTGAATTGAACTTCCACTTTGTTTCTGCGTCATTGATCCGTTTGCTAAAATCAAATTATTAGAACACATACAAACGAATTGCTGAAAAAATTCCTTACCTTCCAATTACAGGAGTTACACAACATCTCAAGTTTGGTCAATTTCATAATTAATTCAGGGACGATTTGTAACGTGACTTGATTGAAATATCATTGACTGATACAATTAGGTTAAACCCTACGCGGAGTGTGCAAATAATGTACAATATCAGGTGCCTGGTGGGAATCAATCCATGACACCATGTAATTTGAGCCACCTGGCCCTCACAGTCAGACCATTCACCCCTGCTTAACCCCTGGTATCCCTCTGGCCCCAAAAAGCCATTAAAACCGCACACTTACCACGTCAATGCCATTTGACATTTCCATTTTGGTCACAGGGGTGATCGAGGCAATCCCTATGTGAACATTTGTACACAAGCCTTTGTACACAAGCCTATGTAAATGTGCACAAGCACACTAGGATTTCCCGCCAAATTTTCAACCCCTCCAGTAGGATCACAAGACTGACATCCCCTCTGGTGGATGTACCATGGTCCATACTAGTGATAGATGACCTGGGGAATGGCTACCACGTGGCTGTGACAAATAAAACATAGAAATGTGGAAGCGATTTTAACCACACTGAATCCAGAAATATGGATGCGGCCAAGAAAGTGGACGTGGTTAAAAACGGGTTGATAGGATTCTAGCGCTAATGTAAATGTTTGTATCATTTCACTATCGAACCGTCAAAATAATGGCATGTGAACATTCTTTATAACACTACAATATACTGCCGTGATTTGAGCCATATCCCGACGGTACCTCATGCTCATATTAAATTTGGTATGATAAACAATTGTTTGACGACACAACGTTTGCAAACCCTTTCTCTAAACGAGGCAAAGCAAACAAATGTTTTATTTATGTTAAAGGTAGAGTTCCGAATCAGTGGTGGAGAATAGATCTTGAGGCTATCTACTGCTTGAAGAAAATTACAATAATCAACAGAGTTGATAACTTTGGTAAGTTTTCTATGAAAATTATCCAAGCCAAGTTCGTCGATTAAAAAACCTTTTTTTTGGCGATTGCCTTTAGCCTAATCCATCCAGTTTCCATCGCAGTGTATATACTAAAAATCCATTTTCTCTCCAGATATGGGGTTATGTTCTATGATAAAAAAATATGATAAATATACAAATGATGACATTTTTCCATCAATCCAATTCAACTGAACTTACTCACATGGGCATTTGCTCCAAATTTCATTCTCTTATGTCGGAAGTCAGTCTTGTCCAATGCTTATGTTCAAACCATTCAATAACGAACCGGTTGAGGTTTTGATGAAAAAAAGCACTACCAATCTTAAAACATATCTCACATTGTATTTTTTCGTAAATGAGTGGTGACGCTGCAATATCGGGGTTCTTCAATAACCAGGGAAATGCAAAACCCGTAGGTCAAAGTATTTCCGATTACTTTACGGCGTTACAAATTACTGCAGGTGAGCGATTGGCAGGTGCTGTGGTGCGGGCTGGTTTGGATCCATCAGATTTCTCACAAAACACACAGATAGGAGATGCAGTCACAAGTTCTCAGGCAACTGACGGAGCAGTGATTGATTTCATCGCGGATCCCATCGTCTCCGCTAGATACGTCAGTGTGAAAAGAAATGCAAATGGTTTTGTGTGCTTGGCCGAAGTCATGGTGGAGGAAATCCAAGACACTGAGGAGACTTCCACTGCTGCAGGTAAGTGGAATAAAAATATGTTTGCAAGCAAAAACAATCTATTCAGTCATAGTCACATCATATTCACCAAAGTCACGAGGGAAATGACATCGCGGTTCACTGTACATATCTCTAACATTTCGCATAATGATAATCTGCCGGGGAAAACAATGTTCAACCTACATTCTTAAATTCACACTTGACAGTTTTAGTTGCTTTTATTCTTTGGCTAATTATCACGAGTCCCCTATCCTTTCTGGTCTTAGGTATCAAATCCAATCCCGATTTTATTTATTTAACGTTTGTTTTTCGTTACATTTTTTTTTTATTTGCATTACTCATAAGTGCAGTTTCATGAAAAGTGGAAACGGGTAAAAAAAAATAGGACAATTTATGAAATCTTGAGAGCCACAAACACTACATTCCTTAAATAAGTGTATTTTATAAACTTTAAATGGACATTGTCGACAATGGCAGGAAGGGTTGGGTTGTGGGGGGTGATTAAATTGACCGACCTGACCCATTCATGCTGAGCTTTTATCACCTTTGTCAATGAGCACATAAATCACGTGTAAAGTACAATTAGATGCTCTTAATTCTGCGTTCTTTTTTAACAGTTGTACTGAAAAAATAGAGTTTTGGGCAACATTTACATTTTTTATTTGGAGAATTTTAAATGCGTTCTAACTAAACCATTCCAAATAATATCATTACATTATATATTTGTTAATTCCGAGAAGAAGATCCCATAAAATATTTTTGGGAGAATTGTATTTGTCCCAATCGAGCAGACCTTACGGCAGTGTTTAAACATGTTATACATGCATTTAACTCCCTAGAAATCGGTGTAGATTTTACTCTGGTGGCCAACCCCGCTCGTCTTGGCCAGATAGGAGACGACAATGCAGTCATCCAAGCTTACAAGGGTCCTACGTATGCCTCCGGTGGGATCATCTTCGGCAGGCAACTGACCACAGGAGGTAGCAATGTCGAACTACCAGCAGGATCGATGGTTGTGGATGATCCACAGACGATATGTAATGTTACACTGTCCAGTACGTTACCTGCAACAGCTGGGATTGACCGAACGGGTGTCTTCTACGCTCAAGCTCTCAAAAATGAAAACGTGAACAGGATACAGACAATCATATTGAACAAAGATGGTAAGCTGATGGAGGCTCACCGCCGTAATCTGAAATCACCTCTTGACTTTCATTTTCGTTTCATTTGAAATTAACGTATGATTTTGCTCTCTCTTTCTCGTACCTTTATTTCACAGAGTTGTATTCACAAATTAAGGGCTAGGGAAGCTTTCCGCTTTCTCTATTAGTTGTCATGGTTATCAGTGATTATTGCTATGATTTGGGATTTCATTGCAGACGGCACAGTCCATACACGACCTACACAGCGAACACAGATTGCCAACATCGGAGAGTCGGTGACACTACAGATGGAGAATGTGAATTCACCTGCTAACAGCAACTACAGATGGAGGCATAATGGCGGTGACGTCATCACAGCATGGAACAACCAGCTCAGTGTGTCTATCAGTAATGTCGGTGAAGCTGATGGAGGAATATACAGCTGCTTCGTCTCTGGCCAAGAAAGTCAACAGCTTCATGGATTCATGAGACTTATTGTGAAAGGTATGTCTTTCACATTTCTGCCTATAACTGCCTCAACTTATAAGGTCTTGTTTTCTAAATATCATTATTGCGATAATTCTGTGAACAGGTTGTGCTGCGGGTATGTGGGGCCAGGATTCATGTCAAAACACCTGTCGTCGATGCTACAATGGAGGTATCTGTGATGACAAGACGGGAACGTGTATCTGTGCTCCAGGATTCAGTGGAGAATATTGTCATCAAGGTAACATTCTTCATCATCTTATTTGGTATGGTAAACTTTTTTTCGTGCAGAACAATTCTGTTGGTTTGATTAAACATATTTTCAAATTATGTTAATTGTGTCATTCCCTTTCATTCAGTTCACGGGCGTCACGTCTTTGGCCAGAATGCTAGTCATACCTGTTCTGATAGCACTGATCCACACAACGACGCTTGCCAGGGTCGCTTGTTTTGTCTTCCTGATCCTTACGGATGCTCCTGTGCTGCTGGGTATATGGGACTAGACTGCACGCAAGGTATGGAATTAGCAAACTCATGCAAAGTATTTCTTGTCTGATTTGGTGCTCTTTGGTAGTTATATACCCGGGGTCTAAAGATTTCCTTGAGTGGATAAGTTTGAAATCAGAGTCTTGCCAAATAGTCAGCGTTGAACCTTGCTGATTCGTCCCCCGGTTTTTTTTCTTTTCATGAGTATTTTTTTTGTTTTCACTCTAGAATGTAGTGCGGGGAAGTATGGAGCCGACTGTAAGCAGACATGTCACTGTCCATCTGGAGATTCCTGCGTGAAGGATACAGGAGAATGTACTGGAAGTAAGAGAATGTAGAGTTGTATTGCAAAACAGCTTGTTGCAGGGATTATATAGTTTGAAAATGCAAATTGAGAGTAACATTTACTTAAAATTAGAAGGTAAACTTGATTGTGGACGATACCCTATTGCAATAGGAAATTCAGTAGGATTTGTACAAATTTAAATATGTCATCCTGATAAACTAAACTACCTGGTTTTATAGTCTGTTATCTTTCTTTCCAGATTGCATACCACCATATTTCGGAAGTAACTGCCAGTGTTCAAGTAAGCTTCCTTTTATTAACTATAGGCTACTCCAACCGCTTATTAATCCCAGCAGACGTCATATTGAAGAAAGAATATAGGATATAGGAAAGTTAAGAAAACAACAGAAGCATCAATAGGGGAGATGATTATCACATTGTACCCTCTCGACTGAAAGCGATGGATACAACAAACAAAACGCAAACAAAACATAGAGAGTAGTGGGAAGGAAAGAATTAAGAGGCCTCATCTTACAATGAATAAGCATCTACAATATTACTTTTTTTCAGTAAAACTGCTTCAACCTTTACATGAAAATAAACTTTGCGGACACATTATATTTGATCCCAGTAATTATTATGTTCTTTTTTTTTCAATTGCAGCTGATAATGTCGTTCTGGGACTGAAAGTGATGCCAATCGATCGATATCAACTACAAGTTTCCTGGCAACCAGATGCATGTGTCTCTGCCTACATACTGGAGTATGCATTGACAAACAGGGGCCAATGTGAAGAGATTGAATCTCCACAGCGGGTATCACTTCCAGGTCCACTCGATGGTCAAACTACCAGTCATGTCATCACTGGTTTGATATCGTGTTCCACCTATATGGTTTACATTCGCCCTCAGTACAATGCTGTGCGAGGACCCGAAGTGTCGACATCTGGAACCACACTTAAACAAGATAGTGAGTAGCAGAAACATTTTTCTTACATCCATAACTAAACGTAAACATTTCTACGTCACCATCCTTGAGCAAACAAAGATAATTTAAGACAAACTGCGATTAAAGGCTCCATGGATTGTCTCTTATTTCCCCAGATCCATCCGTTTACCCTGTAGTGGTGACTTCTTACGATTCTGCCAGTGTCACACTCAGCTGGCGTGAGGTGTACTGTGCAAATTACTCCGTCCATTATGCACTGAGAAACAAAGATGGTTGCCTACCCATTAACCCACTAAACTTCATCCAGCACTGCATGTGTTCTGGAACCAATTCGACCGTGATACCTGGTCTGTTTGCCAATTCGATGTACGAGATACGAGTCGCAGCATACGTGGATGGAAGCTCTGGACCAATATCACAACTAAGTGCTGTAACCGGCACTAAAGGTAAGACTATATCCCTTAGTCATTAACCCACACCTTTACACCCTCAACCATGCTATTTGGGATCAACTCACTTATATTTTGATTGATATTTTTTCATTTGTTTTACTTTAGTACCATCTGCACCACCACAGCAAGTTACCGTCAATTCAAACAAACGCAGCCTGACTTTCTTCTGGAGTCAGCCACCGTGTGGAAGCCGAGGTGGCATCATCACAGGCTACATGTACAAGCTAAGTGGACCAGGGTCACAACTCATCTTAGATGTATCGACAGCCGAACAAGTTGAGATAGATGGCTTAATCCCCTTCACAAATTACAGTTTTCAAGTTTCCGCAAACACCATTGCTGGGGCCGGGCCTTACAGTGGTGTTGTCGTTCAGAGAACTGCTGAAGCAAGTAAGCAATGCTTACAAATATCCAAACCTCAATCAATATTCCATATTATGAGATCAAACTGCTGCCTTTCGTCATTTCGAAGATTTTAGATACTTGCACTTACACTCAGATACTTTTTTGGACAATTTTCAACAGACCCCACAGTACCTTTGAATGTCGTCATTAAGAACGTTGATGACGTATCCATCACTCTCCAGTGGTCAGAGCCCGACCCTCCCCAAGGAATCATCACTAATTACAACATTAGGTACTGGAGGAGTGGACAGTCAGGAAACCCAACGGTTATTAACGACGTGGTGCAATTGGTGCATGAGATAACGGGCCTCGAAGCGAATGTGACATACTTCGTGCGGGTATGTTCAATACCTTTTGGTGTCTGATGTGTCTGTTACACTTACAGTTTAAATCGAATTGCTTAATCATTGCATACATACTAATGAACCCGGGCAGGTTATCACTGTACACCCAAGGAGGCCCCTTCAATTGTTAAAACCATTGTACCTGCTACAATACTGTACAAACAACTGCTCAGCAGCTAGCACTTTGCTTTCGGCTTTAAAAGTGGTCTAGATAGCGTGCCCGACTGCCCAGATTGGTATATAATATATGATCAATCATGCTGACCACCTGGAAACTACATGCAAGGAAGAAGTTCCTATACAAGAAATCCACCTCTTCCTGTGGCTTACACTTATCGACTCGACATCAAAATTGCTCAGTTCGTTTCTTGTTGGTTCGTCTTGAGAGGGGAAGAATTGAAACGTTTGATATCTTGTTGTCAGGTGCAAGCCGAGACGTCGGTTGGTGTGGGACCCTGGAGTAATGAAGTAACTGCAGTGACCAGAATACGAGGTATCAGTCATTTTGTACGCCCTTTACTTTGACAAATTTGATTTTGTTTGATAAAAAAAGAAACCAGCTATGTCTTTGGATATGTCTGTGATCAAGAAAATCTCGCCCGTATTTGTAGTTGCCAAAGTTCCAGACACAATTAATGCTCTTGACACGATATTTGGACGTGGCCTAATTAACCAATAGGTAGATGCCTAAATCCAACTCAGGACTGTATGCTGCACCAGAACGGTACTTCAGGGAAGAACAGATTCAACTTATAACATTTAAAGCTAAATCAATGTCAATATTTTTGTTTTGTTTCCAGAACCTGGACCCATCCAGAATCTTTATTGGACAGACAGAACTGAATCCACAATCGCCTTGGACTGGGAGCCGCCGCTTAATCCGAATGGACAAATACAAAGATACATAGTACGTCTTTTTTATTTCTCATTAGTAGCAAAGCAGACAACGCTAGTCAAGCCTAGTACAGGTGTTCCTAGATCGCAGAAATTCCATATGGGTGATTAAGAATGCTAAACAATTTGGACAATAAGCTATAACCTTGTGGTAACTTGGTGGAAATGAATCAAAAATCACTTTTGGTCGTACATATGGAGACCTTACTTATATTATATACATGTACCCTGATGGTGAGGGACATATGCGAGTCTGATTTACAGAGTTGAACATTTGGACTAGCGACTAGCCAACTCTGTGTTACAGTATTAAATGTTAACACGTACATGTATGTAAAAGTTAGTTAGGTAGTAACATTAGAGGCCTATTCTATTCTAGCAAGGAAAATCTTGCTGCAACATTTTATCTTAATATGTAAAAGCCATTGAAAGTAAATCCGTACATTCATGAACTCACTGTTAAACTGCCCCTTTAACCTTTGGAAGTTATTTTGCCGAGGGTAATATAGAGCAACAATAGATCCTCTGCCTTTAATGTACAATATCTCGAATGCATATTTGGCATAATATACGTGACTTCTTTTTCATCAAAATCCTACATTTAAAATCACAGGTGGAGTACCGAGCGACAGACAAGCCTCATCAACCTGGTTTCACTGCACCTGACGAATACGAAAAGAATCAAGTGGAGAGTCCGCCATTTGTGAAAGACAATCTGGAGCCTGGTACAAAGTATGAGTTCAGAGTGGCAGCGGAGAATCAGTTGTTCATAGGACGTGATGCAGTCTTGGAAGTTTATACCAAACCACAATCAGGTAAGGGAATGCAATTATGTTGTACATGGAATAGCCTTAATATTTTGTCATAACAGTGGAAGGAACAACAAATACAAACAGATTCAATCTCATAGTATGAAAAAAAGCCTAACAATTTAGAGCGTTTAGTTGTCATTAATTTTGGAAAATGGTAAAATCCAACAAGTATGGATCTCCATAGATTTTATAGTTGAAATCGTTCTCCACTGTTAATATTGTAGATGTTAACGATTATTTCAATTATACTGTGCCATAGATCTTCCTGCACCGCCTCAACCGATTTCATACCAAGACGACACCACAGATACTACCGTCACTATTGGTATAACTACCGCAGTATCTGGTGATGACTTCATTGAGTGAGTACCATACTGGAATGCATTCGGTTTGTTGGAATGCATCAAATGCTAATAAAATCAAAATGTTAATAAAATAAACATGTTAATATTGTGTAACACTTATCTTGCAAAATAAAAACAAACTGCTTCTCATCATCCATTTAAATTTAACCGAAATTCAAACAAGGACAGATGTTGTGCAATTTTAGAATAATGTCACCTCAGTTTTCTCCATAGGTGTGAATTTTAGAAGTCGACAAACATTGTTAACATTAATGAATATCTCCATTGGTCTCCTTTCCTCTTGAAAACTTTATTGAAGTTTGCAATTCTAATTTTACAGTATGTGCCATTAATATACAATTATATGACCCATTTTGAGTTTTTGTATAAAATGTAACAAATTAAGCTAATCGTTCATATATTGCAGATCGTACGTCGTTCATGTCAAGAAAACCAGGTCTTCATCGGTCATCAGGAGAGATGTTCTTATTCCAAGTCATTTCGTGGATTCCCCCAATGACTACATAGCAGCAGAACTCCCTAAAGGGGGTGTGCCCGATAAATTTGTAGTGGGGGACACCAAAATGTACGGTGGTTACTATAACGCCCCGCTGCAGACGGGTGCTGTGTACAACATTCGTGTTGGGTCTGTCAGTAAGGGCAACGAATCGGTACGTACTTTAATTCGTCAGTGCTTCTGTTTTAAAACAAAATTAAAATATAATTGCGTTTGCCGACTGGTCCTAATTCCCCCAATTTAATAGTGCCTTAAGTAATTTGGCAAATTGGCTTTCATTCCAAGCTTTAGATTGGAATGAGTTTTCCTGAGGCTAGAGATTTGAATCTCACATCAATTGATTTCTTTGTTTTTCCTAGGATTTAAATTTGTGTTGTTATATTGGAGATCCGTAATAAACGACAACATGATTTTTCTCTACCTTTTTTTTCTGGTCTCGAAATGTTATTGTTGTCACATTTATTTCATAGCTCTAAACAAACTCTTTTGGCTTTATTATCTAGGTGGCCAATGTTGAATTTTCAGAGCCGCTGACTATCAAAGGTAAGATTTTCAATTGTTTAGCAGTTACAATAATTGTTTGATTTCGAGGACTATATTGAATGTGTTTTTATTTAAACCTCTTTTGTTGCAGTTGAGCAAGCGAGTTCCAATTCAGGGCCTATTATCGCTGCTACTGTACTTGGGATTGTCGTGTTCATCTTGGTTGTAATTGTCGTCGTCGTATTCATCCTGTGGAAAAAACGTAGCACGGGTCGTTCACAAACTGCGACAGACGAACTGGTAAGTCATTAGCATACATGTATAGCTGATACAATAACACACACAATTCCCATAACCGTGAACTGTTAATAAGTCAAGGACTTTTTTTCCATGACAATTATGTTTACGTCGAGGTCCAGGGGAAATTCGTGTTTTTTATTATTCAATTAAAAACAAGAACCTGATAAAAGTTATCCACTAATTCTCTGCTTATGTTTTACGTACGGTGGTTTGGAGGTTGTTTCATGATAAGCTTCGTTACATTTTTCTTTTCTTTTTTAATTTATAAGGTTCTCTCTGAAAACCCAAGATCTAAAATCAAGAAAATGGAGTCACTTAATGAGAACAACACCGACCCCGTTGTCTACGAAGATATTGGGCTCCTTCCAAGCTGGGCGTCTCAACTGGAAATCAAACGGGGGAATTTGATCATCGATGATGAGATTCTTGGTAAGGGTAACTTTGGTGAGGTACGCGCAGGAGGCGTGAAGATTAAAGGGAAAGTCACCAAAACAGCCATCAAAACAATGAAAGGTAAGACATTGGAATATAGTGAATACTATTTGTATTATATGCAACTTCAGATGTAAATTAATATGCAAATCAATTTTGATATTCAAAGTTACTAATACTGATAACTTGAATGTAAAAAAATCGCCTAATAAAAGATGCGATACCACCAGTGATAATTAAATTTACATAACGTACAATAATTTGTATCTAACATATATTTCTGTGTACAGGGAGTGTTTCAGAATCTACCCGGGATGATTTTCTGAAGGAAATACAGACAATGGCAGGCATTCAGCCCCATCCCAATGTCGTTGGTCTACTGGGTGCATGCATGCACGAAGGTACATCGGTAGTCATTTACCCAATCCTGTTTTCCGACCGTATTTCTTCTTCACATTTTCTTTACCATTACACGACATACCACCCCAAAAGATGTATTAAAGTTTGATTCTTCAGATTGAATTATAGAGAGTGATTTTTTAATACAAAAAACCCAGTCAACTCTTGTAAATCTGGTTCCAATTCTTTTAAATAGAATTGTCATACATCCGCCGAATTTAGCCCATTCATTGGCTTAAGGGGAAGGCCTTATCCTATAAGATGAGCCTGAGCACTCCTGGGCTCATAAGTGTGTGTTGTCTTTGTCTACGTGCCTAGGCCAACCAATGTCATGCAAGCAGCATCTCCACTGGACACTAAGCTGGTCAGCCACATTGCTTTGCACATTCACAGCGATTCATGCAATAGAATACCATACAAATGTATGAGGAATAAACTGACCCTAAAGTCCTTACACTTTCCGCTAAAATAGTATGCGATGAACAGCATTTGAAAGTTTCACCATTATAATTAAAATCAGGAAAACACATTTTGAAGTCAATATGTTTCCATTGTGTTGATAGCGATTATATACGTGGCGCTTGAGTTTCTACCTAATGGCAACCTCCGGGATTATCTGAGGAGTACTCGCCCTAAGCAGCAAGGGGCAACTGGCTCTCAAGATGATGTGTCGCCGCTGACTTCTTCCAACCTGCTCAAGTTTGGTCTGGATGTGGCCATAGGAATGGAACATCTGTCCAACACGGGGGCAAGTCACACATTCAACAAAACAGATAAACAAAAATGAACGTTCAAAACTGGAGAAACTATATGTATTTTTTTAATTAATGTGCTGTAAAAACTAGATTCTGCATATGTACTTTAATTGGAGACGAAAAGGAGGATTCTGTTTGGATCGTTTGTAATTTTAAAATTGTTAACTCAATTTGTGTTCTTATTTACTAGCTGTTAGTATATAGGTAATGATTAAAATTTGAGTGGATACAGAGACGTAATGAATAAAAAAATCCTTTGGAATACATTTGTAATACAATAATTCATTAATGACAATTTTGTATTTAGATAATCCACCGTGACTTGGCTGCAAGGAACATCCTTCTCTCTGAAGATCTGACTGCCAAAGTGTCTGACTTTGGCCTTTCCAGAGGAGAAGACATCTATGTCCAGAAATCCTCGGTAAATTAAGATGACATTAAAAAAAAAAAATTGTTTCTACAATGTTCACGACATTGTTTTGTATAATATTATTGATAAATAAGTAATTTAAAGGGAATATACATCATTTGCTTTTGCTGTACTTTTCAGAAATGGGTGGAATTTGGGGGTTGGAAATACATAGCAAATATAGTTACACTGACTTTTTTGAGGTTTTGGGTTCGAAAATGCTATAAAAACCAAGAAAAACAATCATTGTCCTGTAGTCTGGTTCCCTGACTCCATTTAAGAAGAAACACAGCAGTTTACATATATAGGGGAATTGTAAGGTCAGGGAACCAGTCTAGCTGGCTTGTACCCGTTCATAGGTGTGTAAACGATTGCAAACAAGTGCGATGGTCAACTGAGGCCAGTATTTGAAGAAAAAAAAGCCAGTTTTTCCGACGCTGATCGGCCGATCGGCGTTGGAAAATGATACAAAAATACCCCTTTTTTTGAAAATGACAGTATACCAGGTGCCATGATTTTACAGGATGCTTTACACTGTCATTCACTAACAGTCCAGCAAGGTATTTCAAAATGATTTGGTAGTTTTATTTTTTTATGTTTGCAAATGTTGTATTTTCACTTTAAAATGTTAAATAACTTTTAGTTATTCCTTTGTTCATTAGACAAGGATTCCCGTTCGTTGGTTGGCCATCGAATCTTTGACGCGTCGTGTCTACAAGTCCAAGAGCGATGTGTAAGTTGAACAAATTATGAAAATAATTATATCCTGCTAATTTATGACCTATGACGAGGCATGTGTTCATGGTTTTGGAGAAGATACTTTGTCCGTTTTGTGTTTTACTCTGCTTTATCTTCAATCGCACCATCCAGGTGGTCCTTTGGCATCTTGCTCTGGGAGATTGTGACGTACGGTAGGTGCTTCATTTCTCATCTTCTCATCGTGTTTTTGCGTTTCTCCACAACTTGTTTTTAAGTGATAGCATTTATCTGAAATCTACTACTACTGCAGCAAATAAGATACTTTGAACAGAGCACAGTTTACTCATACGTATACCCTTATAAAATTTAATTATACAGTGTCCACGTCCAAGAAACATAAGTAGCTACAAAGCAAGTTTGTTTTTGTATCTATGTTTCCATTTCTGATGGAATTAAAAGGATATGGATAATTTGCAGTCCGGCTTATTCATAACTTATTGTTTTAGGATCCACCCCATACCCTGGTATTGAGAGCAAGTCACTGGCCCAAAGACTGCTGGATGGATATCGCATGCCCAAGCCGGAAAACTGCGCTGATGAAATGTAAGGAAAACCAAGCCTATTCTCCTGGATCAGTGCACTGTAAAAACACACCGTTCTGTTTGACTGGGAGCAGTCAAACTTGCACCGGATTTTGAGGGAGTAATTATTAATAAATAAGTGTTCTAATAGTTCACAAGCTCGTCTATTGCTGCCATCTTTTTATATGGCTCAAATTCTATTATCCGTTTGGCTTGATCACTCACAAACCAAGGTTTATAATTGTTTTCTCCTCGATATTTTACCAAGTTACGATGTGATGTTGAAGTGTTGGCAGGAGCAACCTAGCAAGCGACCCAGTTTCAGAAAACTGGTTGAAATTCTGGAGGACATGAACCGCAATCCGGATGCAAATGTACGTATAATTGGGAACTAGTGCCAAATGTGCCCGTTACTCTGATTAAGAGCTTTATTTAGTTGCATTTTTTTTCAAAGTCGATTTCTTTCTAAAACTCGATACTACAAGATATGTCTGAATAAGATTTGTAACATAACTTAAGTTATATTTTCTTAATTGAAGGGTTATTACTTGGTGTTCTCAATGATGCATTTTAGTACGTTATAACCTTGATTTTGCAGGATTACTTGTCACCAACTGTCTGCGAGAATTTCACCATCAAGCCTGAGTTTGACGATAACTAGATGAATGTGATGATCGCTCACATGCCAGCTCAGCCAATCATCGCCAGGTGCTGGCGCGATATTAAGCAAATCTAATCAATTATATGAAAAAACTCTAGAATTATGGAAACATTGTTCTGTAATTTTAAATTTCATTGCAAATCATGGACGATGTGCTCATACCAATGATTTTATGCGATACTAATACTTCACTGTGTTACCTAATGTCCTACTTTGATGTTTTTTTTTAAACTTCAAATCCAAAGAAAACTCAACAGGGGTACACACAAATTATATACTGTGTTATAAACTTTTTTCTAAGATATATATGCATAAAGGTCCCATTTTAGTTAAATTGAGTAATAGTTAAACTTAACAACGGAAACAAAATAATAAAGTAAAAATTATATCAAGTTATTTTCTTGTAATACAATATCACTACATAGACAAGAAAAAGACAAAAAATTAATAGCCGTAAAATTATATAAAGATATTTTCTTGTAATACAATATCATTACTCAGTCATATTCCAGAGTAACGTATAAAGCGCTGATGTTAAAATCGTGTAACTTTATATTTAATAAAGCAAATTTATAACAATTTACACTGTCGACAACATCTTGGTTTGAGAAGGAGAAATCTTTTCTTTAGATTCAAACAAATATCACGGCATCACTGATGAGCGGAATAGGGATGACACTAGTTTGAAGATTCTGAAGTATTTTTCAAGACTTTAATTTGATCCATTTTTACCACATTTTCTTAACTTGAACTCCTTTCTTTTAAAGTGTTTTTTCTTTAGGGCTTCCATCGAAACACATCCGGTTGGGAAACCTCGTTTTTTAATTTAAATTTGTTTTGAAAAGCCACTTAGTTTTCGTCGTGTGTTTATTACAATATTGAGGATTACTCAGACGCTAGTTGTGTAAAAAATCCTATCAAAAAGGTTGCTATAAAGACAGTAAGTTTACTCGAAGCATGCATAGTTACTCTCAGTCTGACGTGAACTGAAGCCAGGACAAATCAGTCGATGTTTACTGATATTACGAATAGCACAATTCTAGAAGAAGCCCACTAGATACGTCATGCCAGATACGTTAGTAACTTTGCAAACGTTAGTAACGTATGCACATGTTTTGCAGTAATTCATTAAATCAAGTGCACATTAATTGTGTACTATAAAATCCACTTATTATATATACGGTTTATATTTTGTTTTGGTATGTTGCAAACAGGAAAAAACACTGTAAAAAAATGTTTATCCACACCCCTTTTCCCTGCACAGTGTACATGGTTTAGTAGACTAATATGCATTTGAATTGATACTTACAAATTTCATCATCGAGTTTTTGATAAAAATGGAAAAAAGGGACTTGTTGTAACATCGGAATCGTCCTAGATGCTCTTCAACATCTTACAGTGTATGTTGATGCTGATATTTCTTCTAAAATGGGAGTAATTGTACGGCTTAAAATCAATCGGATGGAAAGGAAAACAAAAGAGGGCGCACTGCCATTGATAACATTTCTTTCAGGAAGTAACTGGTAAAAAAAAAAACAAATGATTGCCTACGGTAATCGGTTTTGTTTTTGTTTGGTTTTAAAGTACACAGGGTAATCATTAAGTAAATACAATTAACGTATTGTATTTTCAAGTCAAGTGTGTAATTATTACAAGTCATTGTGGGTGGGGAGGGTTGGGGTGTAACACCCCCGTTTGCCCCATTAACAAGCATCGGTGTCATATGAAAATCGGACTCTTAAGAAAATTGGAATCCTTGATTAAACCCTCTCACGTGACCGGTCGCTCTCCTAATCATCACCACTTAGGCATGCGCAATACTACCAATGAGTCCGTATTTCATAGAGTCCTAAATTCACGCTGCACTGGTATGAAGTGCGCCCCTTAATGTCCGATGATTGTCCATCATAGGAAGATGGTGTGAGGCCTACCCCACTCCGTTTTTGATTTTGACTTTCCGATGCCGGGTGTCCTTTTAGCAAGGATGGTCCGTCGGCGAATAAGTTATCACCCTCCAACCCCCCCCCCCCCCCTTTCAACGATGTCTGGTGACGAAGAGTTTTCTGGAATATTGAGGTAGGGAAGAATCCCGATGCATACCGTTTTGTCGTTTTACAGTTTTGAAAAACGAGATAACGGTCTGTCCCGGGAATGAGAAGTCTCTAATTGATGGTTTAGTAGATTTTCGATACTGAAATTGATACTAATATTGGTATTTGGCTATGCTGTAATGACTGTAATATTGTCAGTATGGGGACTCATCAAAACAACGGAATCGCGCTACTCTTTGAAAATTTACTTCTAAAAGCTGAATAAACACTCGTGGTCCCTCATAAAGAGCAGTTCTTTAGCTTAATATCCCATTATAAAGAAACATGTGAATATCAAGAGGTATCTCATGCGTTTGAATTTGGATCAAACCGAAACTCAAAAATCCATTAAAACGAACCAATACTGGCTGTAAAGTTCGGGTCTATCCCTCGAAAGCTAACATTATATTGACTTGGCACGAGGAAATAAAGTGACACCATAAACAGTGTCTTGTGCAATACACAAGGATGTATAATGTAACATTGCAGAGTGCAAGACAAAGTTGTATTAGGCAGGCATGTACAAACGGCATCGGATCCATCTGCAAACGTTATATTCAACCCCGCCTTATCATTTCCTAAGGGATGAAATGGTCCTTAATAAAGAGCAGATCTGTTGCTTAACATCCAATTATGAAAAGGATCTGGACACCAAGAGGTATTTTGTGTGTGGTTTCCGGATCAAAACGAAAGTCTGATACGGAAAGAAAACGAAACACCAACTGGCTGTGCTTATTCTGGGTTTAGGTCAAAAGGGTGTTGAATAACATCTTAACTTTTCAACCAGGAAGCAACTGCATAGTACAAAAGAATTAAAAAGGAATACAATTAATTTTTTAGAAAGAACTACATAATGACTCAACGTGGACTGGGTATCTGCCCGGCCTGCCTTGTGTTCTAAATCATTATTTCATTGAGCATGTATATGCCATTAAATCGAGCACGATTGGCCTGCTGAGGGGTAACTTGTCCCCTTTGTTGTAATTTCTTCCAATGTGTTCTTTATTGAAAACATCACGGCACTTTACAACCAATATTTTCATCCCCTCACTTTTACAAATAGTCCTGTACACTTACTCTGATCCCCAAACCTAGATGCGCTATTGTCAGAATAAACTGGGTCCTACGGGATACCAGTCATTGCTCTGCTAGGCTTTTTTTCAAAAAGTTGTCAACAGTGCAGACCAAGAATGCCGTAATGTGAATGTGCATTTGAAGCTACAATGTTCTTATAACTAGAATTGTCGAAAAGTACTCTGTAAATACTGCTTTTGGTACGGTGTAAAGTCCGTTTCTGTCCCTGGGAAATTTATATTACACTGACTAGGCACGAGGAAATTATAGTGACGCCAGGTAACAGTGTCTTGCGCCACACACAAGGAAGTACATGTAGCATTGCAGACAGCAAGACAAAGTTGGAATAGTTACGAACTGTTTGGGACTTCAAAAGTTAATTCATGTACTGTCTTGTGAACATTTCCTGAGGGATAAAATCAAACATGGCGTCTCAACATGGAGTCTTTCGACACTTTGCCGTCTTTTCATTGCTTCTGTTTCTGGTCCTCAATCGCAAAGGAGGTAAGTTTGACAAACCTTCTACCACAGCGAGGCCGCGATTTGTTCAGTAGAAACTAATCGAGTTTAAAAAACAAAACGAATTTGCAATCTGCGTGTCAAAGCTACGGTCAGTTTGATGCAAGATCCACTAATTTACAGCGTAGTTCCAGAGTGTGTTAAGAAGGTATTCTGTGACTCCACAAAATGAAAAATTGCAAATTCGTTGATAGTTTTATGTCACACATGAATCTGAAACGGAAATACACAGGCCTATGTCATTATTCCAAAAACAAATCTAACAAAATACAAATTGCATTTCACATATTTCGTGTTCAATCGCCAAGATACTGTCCCAAGCTGCCTTCATGTGGTAGGGTTTAAAATGCATCCTGATATGTAAATTGAAAGTATGGACACTGTTTGTTTAATAATATCCTTTAACACAGGTCTGGCCCTCAATCTGCGGAACAAGCCGACTAGTCAGAGTACAACTTATGCAGCTGATGCAATCGCAGAGAATGCAGTAGATGGCGATCCAAACACCATTTCACACACATGTAAAGTTATTTTCAAGGGGGTGTCATTCTTTGTTGATAAATAAACTCGTGTACTATTATTTGTGTCAATCAGGGTGAGGACAGGGGAAGGGGGGGTATATGTAATGCCAATTTTTATCATATCATGATATATCATGTTGAAACCACCCCCTCCCAATTGTTTTCTGCCCCCCCCCCCGCCCTCAACTAAACGTTGCAGGTAAATATTTGATTTAAGTAAGATTTGAGGCTTTGCATGGTGGAGATGCTAAATAATGAAAGGTTTGCGGAAACACCATGTGCGAATAATTTCTCAACTAAGAGAATGGTTCTGAAAAGAACCAGAGGTATAAACTCGACGTTCCGGTCAGTATGCTCTGACCGTCTTCAGGAGAGTGCCTAAACTCTAAGAAAGTGAATACTTAAGTGGCAAAAGGGGAAATCAATGGAGTGTGAAGTTGCATCCTGTGAAGTTGCATCCTGTGAGGATGCCAAGTAGACAGGATCCCTGAGCAATGCTTATTATTCACTTTCTTAGAGTTTAGGCACTCTCCTGAAGACGGTCAGAGCATACTGACCGGAACGTCGAGTTTATACCTCTGGTTCTTTTCAGAACCATTCTCTTAGTTGAGAAATTATTCGCACATGGTGTTTCCGCAAACCTTTCATTATTTGATTTAAGCTCATTCATTTACCTCTACTGCAGAGCTTAACATAATGAAGTCCATCCAAACGCGCAACAGATTTTGAAATGTTGATCAAAACATCTATAGGGCCTACAGCGAGTGGCTGTCCTAGTGGTTCGAGTACGTAGGCCTATGACGGCATACAATTCTAAAACAAAACAAAATAATGCTCTCCAAAACTGACTTAAGCAATAAGGAATTTGCTCTAATGCACAACATAGGTTCTAGAGTCCAACATTTATCTGGGCTTCAAGGGGGCCCGGATGCCACGCCGTTAGGGCTTTGCAATAAAGGCAGGTACCGCGTACACCACCAACCTCTCCTCAAAAAAAAAAAAAAAATTCAAAGTGTTCAGATATTGCCTTCAGATCGCACCACAGAGCATCTAGTATCCCAGAAAGATGTCCCCCGAATCCCACGCCGAATTTTTGGGACCCACTTTATCGGGGGTCATTTTTTTGCCCCCAAAGGATGTGTTCTGGATCCACCCTTGTCACAGGGCAGATAGATTTCCACAGACTTCCTTCCTACATTGTTCTATTGTGTCTACTGCCCCATATGAGTCTTGTGCATGTACACACGTTAGAGAAGCGATCGACGTCCATGCTGGTTATGTCATACATAATGTACATGGTTGCCTTTCAACCATTGTTTTTGTTACTTCAACGAGTAGAAGCTCTAGTTTGAGAGGCGTTTTTTTCCCACAGATATTGGTTAGGACGTTTCAAAAGGGGGTTGTCGTAATTTGTATTAATTGCAATAGGAAATTCTAAAAAACTGCTCGGAGGCTAATAAAATCTATATTGTTACATTCCTGTTTGATTGACCTCTTTTGTGAGCAGAGATGTTGTATTTAGCTTCCAGAAAAACGGGTTGATAGGATTCTAGCTAATGTTAAGTTTTGTATCATTTTACCATCGAAACCATTGAAAATAAAGGCCTGTGAAGATCATTTTTAACACTACAATTCTGCCCTGATTTGTCATGTCCCGACGGTACCTCATGCCGAACACTTTACGTATTAATATGAAAAAAAACTGTATAATCCCATTAAATTTGGTATGGTAAAGAGTTGTTTGACACATCAACGTTTGCACACCCTTTCTCTAAACGAGGTAATGTAGCAACTGTATTACAATGTATTTATGTTATA